ATCAACTTGGATAGAGCTGTGTGTGTGCTGATAGGTTCCTCCACTTCAAAAGGAAGACAAGAAGTTGGGTTCATTTTATATCTGGTTTTCCTTCTGCAGTGTTGCAATATTGCAATAAAATGTGCTCAGATTATTTTTCCCTGCCTCATTTCTCCCCTTACCCTTGCTTCTCAGCATAACTCTGAATTTGCCAAGAAAGCAAACATTTTACATTTCTCTTTCTCTCTTCCTACTTTCTTTCAGATCCCTTGCAAAATATAAGTTCTTTTGTAAGCATGACAAAACTCTTGCACATATGCAAAACCAGGGTGTTTCCAGACAAGGGTTTTATCCTGCACCTTCCCCGAACAGTGTTTTCTATCAGCAGCACTGCCTATCTATAATCTTGCCTCTCTACACTTATACAACCATCTGTTCAGGAGGGAGATAAACATAAATGTACAATACATTCTCATTTGTAACTCCTGGTCTTCATGAAATGTGTTTAGGAGACTGCATTGCTATGCCTTCCTCACCAGGAAATTGAAGTCTGCTGTGACTGAGTGAGAGGAGTCCCTCTAGCAACAAATGGCTTTTTGATCCCTGTCTTCTTCTCACAAGCCGAAATGCTCGCTCTCCATCTGACATACCTTCTACCACAAATATCTAAGCAGCATGCACACGCATGCAGTTCATTGCTTGCCTGCCCATAAAGCTAGCTGGTTCAGATCACCAGATGTAATGCATTGTTCCCCCCGATCTGCTGCTGCCTGAAAGAAATGATTGTGATTCGTAAGAAAGTGAGTCCCAAATAGGGTATCCCAGGGGATAAGGATTCTGGAAATAATGTGAATCAATTCTTGTTATCAAGAACAATGAATTATTTTTCAGGAGTCATACCTCCTGGAGTTGGCAGATACAATGTAATGATAATAGGGGCCTTTCCCAATCAATAATCCTGAATGGCCCCCAATTGTTCCCCTCTTCCTTGGTGTCCCCAAAAAAGGTAGTAATGGGGGGGGGAGGCCTACCTTTGTCTATCTTTTTTATTCATCATCTTGCAATGTATCACCAAGACCACCCCTTGGAAAGGGGAGATCCAGAGATGCAAGTTCAAGTCACACACTTTAGCTGATATGTACACTTCTGGTTTGTGATGTTGGTGCTGCATTGCAGCATTTATTAGTGAATAGGCACTAGCAAGACAGGTGAGCCAAATGCCAATGAAGCATTGGGCAGAAATGTCAGTAATGCCTGTACCACCTTTGCCCCTATAATAGTCTTAAGCAGTAACCAAGAACTGCTTGATTGAATTGGACAATGAGGTGCCACCTCGTCCTTTACTCACAATTCAGTCACTGTCCAAAAATAAACCAGGAACAAAACTATCTTGGGGAGAATTCTAAGTGACTCTACACACTTCCACCTTTGTCTCTGTATGCCTTCAAAAATATATCTTTTGTAGCTCCAACACTACATTTGGCTTTGTAGACTCTCCAAACAACAGGATTCTTGGCCAGTCCAAGAATTCCAACATGTAAATCAATCTGGACAGATTCATTTGGTTCTTTGGATTAGCATTTAAATAGATTTCCATTATCCAATGCATTCGCTTTGAAAAAGAAATCTGGATAAGACCAATCTCTAGTTTTATTTCATGTCAACATAATTATCAGCAGTTCCTGAACAAATAGAATGTGCATACATTTTAGGCATTTACTTATCTACATATTGCATACTCGAAATGGCTCAGCATTGAACAAAAGGTCTCCTTTAAAGTGAGCCAGTGAACTAAAAGATAAATCTAGATGGATATAACTGACTGAGGTAACTAGCTTGTTCCTATTTAGGTGGTACCAAACAAGGTTAAGCAGGGTTAGACCTGGCTCCTGCTTGGATGGGAAACTACACTGGGATGTAAAAAAGAAATCCCCGAAGACAATATAAAACTACTTCCCTATTGTTGCATGGATGTGTCATCCCAGGAATGGAGTCTGACTCAAGGAAGCCTGTGCCCTTAATTAATTTCCACATTGCCCATTTTCTCCCTTCTTCCTATTGCCTCAGCACTGTAATACATTTAAGATCATGCTTCAACCCTCACATCCAGCGAGAGAAAATATGCTCTTATATTTACATTTATCACATGCATTTATCTGTGACAGCTTTCCCCAACCAGGAGAACTTCCTTCTGATTATCTCATTGTCAGCATGACTTCACCTGCAGTGAGATAGCCAAAAGATGGTGGCTATAAGCAAAGGAGGAGGTATGTTTCATAAATTCCAGCAAATGCTGAGCCAACAGACACTGTATCCAAGCAGAGTAAGATTTTTTCTTCCTGTGCCTCTGAGTCAGCACTGACTCCTGGCGACGGCCTGGACAAGTCCCTGCAGTTTTCTCAGCAAGATTTTGGAAGTAGCTTGCCATTGCCTGCTTCCTAGTGCTGAGAGAGAGACCGGCCCAAGGTCACCCAGCTGGCTTTGTGCCTAAGGCAGGACTAGCTGTCTTTAAAATACTATCTTTCTTTAAAGAACAATACTTTGCCGAACTTCTAACACATTGTGTTCCACACATATTAAGAGACCCAGTTTTGATGTAATACAATAATAAAAACTGGAAGTACACTAGGTGTTTGTAGCGCTTCACTTCTTGTGTTTGAGTGAATTGTTTGGCCATACCAGAGAGCGCGCTGGAATACAGATATAGTATCTTGTCTCTTTGTAGGACGGAATTCTCAAATGCATACAGAAAAGGAACAGGCAGTTCAAAGAAAGTAGTTATGTAAGCCCCATTAACCAGAGCAAACCTTAATACTGATGTGATTGGATGGAATGTTAGCCTTTCAGTGGTAGCAATTGTTTAATTTTAGGATCCTGTCCCATAACCAGCTACCGTTTAAAAAATGAGTGTTTGGGAAGATAGATTGTTTGGCAGAAATGTGATTCAAAGGGTAGGAGAAGGGAAGTGCAGTGTTACACAGAACAGAGTCAGGTTTAATGCCAAAACATGCAACCACAAAGTACAATCCCAGATAACCTTTTACCTACTAAGACAATCTTGAACAATGACAGACAAACTCCAATCACTAAACACCTAGCCCTCTCAGCTCTACCCATCTCACCAGAAGAAACCCTGGTGATAAAACGCACTCAATTATTTAAAGTAGAAAGACCAAACATAATATATGAAGTGGGGAATGAATGTGGTGGAACAAGGATGGTTTGGCACGACAGAAAGGTATGGAAAGGGATGCGAATGCTGTTGGTATAAACTAGATTTATATTTTCCTTTTTCCTCCTTGCTCGCGTCTTTACTTTACTTCTTTTCAGCACTTGACATCACATAGCATCTCCTGAAAGGGAATAGCATGGGGATGTGTGTGTGTGTGTGTTGTGTGTGGACAGCGCATGCAGCAATCGATTGCATTCTTCTAGTAGTGCCATGAAAGACAGGGATCACATAATCTGGCCCTTGCCTTATTTTTTGTGGTCTTGCGTTCCATTGCTTCACATTGCCCATACCTTTAACGAAAGAGTCAGCTATCTGGATCTCCTCCTGATTTGAAAACAGAAATTAAATTTCTTCCTTCACTGATCCTCAATCACTCAGCTGATCAAAGGTAATTTAAGCGTTTTGATGCCGCCAATCTTACAGAAAATCGGGCATTTTCCCTCTTAACAAAATGTTCAGCAATGGTTTTACTGGCTGGGAATTCTCAGAGCTAAGTCCTCACCTCTGGAAAACAGAGGTTAGAAGTTAGAGAAAGGGCCTCTTCATTTTGTCTGCCTCAGAAACCAAGTAGAGAACATATCCACATATAGTTTGACTTTTTAGTTTTTGCTTAATCATGGTAAATAACTCACAATTGACTGGGTTCACACAGCATGTTAAGCCAAAACCCAAACAAACCATATTAAAGTTTAAAGGGACATGGGACCCCATGGTATGTGTGGAAAGATCAGTCCTGGATCTCTGTCAGTGATTGTTCCTTCCCTCTCGCACCATAGAAAAATGTAAACTAAGAGAACTTCTAAGGCTAATATAAAGGTAGATTCCAACTTTGTACAAAAGCTATCTCTGGGGATGGGGGGCTGTGAGAATTCATGTTACAACATGAAATATCTGGAGAATTATATACATTTCTCTATACCGTGAACACACGCTTTCTAATTTTTCTTTCTCTCCCAGAAGAAATAAATCTATTCTGCATTTCTCTTTGCCATAGGAAACACACACCTTAAGGAGTTAAAACAGAGACTATTCTTATGGATAGAGACATATAGCAGAAATATACAGGACTACCACCAAGGACCACTGGAAAGGTGTGGTCCTCAGTCTACAAATGAATTATCAATTCATGGCAAAGACCTGCCTGGTCCCATCCACACGATATAGATAGTTCTGCTAGGGAAAAAAAGACTTTGTTCTGACTACCAGTTACTCTCAAAGTACAGAATGAGAAGAAGCATATCATGCCTCTACAATTTAGCAAGTGATTTAAAGCTGTTGCATACACTGAAAACTTCTGTCCAAGCAAAACCATTCACAATTCTTTTTACTGGCATCCTGAATCTAAATCTCTTTATTTTATTGATTGGGCTATTTTGACAGGTAATATTTAAAAATGGATTCCAAATAAAAAACACAGTTTTAACTATTCCAATCCACAATGTGGTCATTAGTTGGAGGAAAGGAAAAAAACACTAATATTTTATTGAGAACCAATAATGCTACCACTTTTACCATGCTTCTGAAAGTAGGACACTAATTGGGATAAAATGCTTAAGGTCAGCCTCGGAGCAAAGAATCTCTACAAGAAGTTGAACAGAATTTGGATATCCATGTCAGCCAGAGTGAATAGTAAAAGGTAAGGTGGATTCAGAATTCTCTGTAGAAAGCAGCTATATATGCGTCCTATAGGCCAGTATTCATATTTCATTCATACAGAAATAACTGAAACTGACATCATATGAGAACAAGCAAAGAACAGACAGCTGTGATTCAAACACTATTTTTAAAATTATTAGTAAAAGTACATTTTATTAACAAATAACATAGATCCAAATAGATTACAGTGAGTTACAGGAAGATTTTTCCTTAAGTACTGTTAAAGCTAAGCTTGTATTCAGTGTAAAAACTGAGAGGTAATAACACAATACCTGAAAAAATCAATGACATTTAAATAATTTTCATTCATACAGTGCTGTGTTCTGATCAATACTAGAATGGAGCAATTCCATAAGCTATTATAAAAATTCATCCATATATTTTTCTATAGATAAACAATATTTGACAGCTTAAATATAAATACATTTCCATGATCAATATATTACAATAGTACTGTCAAAAATAATATTTAAGCCTAATGTTAGTGTTTTTTAAAAAGTATTCAAATTACAATTCAACCAGCTATAAATTGGAGGATCTGGACTAGCTGCAGCAAATATTAGACACCACAAGGAAAAAAGTACGAAATATTAGCTTTCGGAAGGCTCACATACAAATAAGTTTGTGTTTCAAAAATTCTGAAAACTCAAGGAGTTCATAAGAGCACGATTCATAAGGCAACGTGGACTTTAGCACTTTGGCTTTTATGCACACCAATGTGTACACGCCTTAATATTCCCAAAAAAAGTACTCCTTATCCTTGCTCCCAACAAAACTAAAAGAAAAGCAAATTCTGTTTGTTACAGTGGACACAATCCAAAGCCAGAAATGCACCTAGGAAGGGCCAATTCAGGAATCAGACATCAGACAGAATGAGCTTTCCTCATTCTACAGCCCACTAACTGGGTTGGGCAACTGTTTTCCCAAACTCTTAACCAGCATAGCCAACAGGTGGAAATGTTGGTGAAAGCTGTACTATTTTTATCAATTTATCCCTCATTCTCTGAAAATGTAGTCCTGTTATGAGTCAGTTCTATCTTGTGCACTACTTCTAACTTTGGATTATGTTAGTTCGTTATCAGATTTAATTGTCGAAGTCCATTTGACAAGTCCATTTCTTTAGAATAGGCAGACTAGGTTTAATAGGCATTTCTGTATGGCTTTTATAATTGCAGTACTATTGTAGTAACATTCTGTAATCCAAAATTCCACTGTGCAGACTCTTTACATTCATTATTAGCTTTAATGCCATGTTTTTAAGAAGCACAAATACTGGATGACAAATCCAGTTTCATTGCTGAATACAATTCTTTAAATGCCTTCCTAACAGAAGGACTTGAGACTCAGTGCAAGCTACTAGGATTGGTGAGGAAGATCAACATAAGCACCCTACAAACATTTTGACAAACAATTCTAGTTTACTGACATCTTATAAATTCCACTGCTTCTTGTACTGGGCAATAAATTGCCATGACTTCACACACCAGTCAGAAAATACACAAGAAACAGAGGCCAACAAATAAGGCTGAGATGAACTCAAGACCATTAATTTTATGAAAATAACACAATGTTAGAACTCTAAAGAGGATGTATGATCAGAACAAGTAGGATTCGTGACAGTCTTTACTCTTTATTTCTCAAGCTTGAATTTAAAACAACTGACAAATTCAAACTACTTAAAAAAAATAAGATTCTCCTTAGAAAGATTGGTTTTATCAAAGATGCAATAAAAAGACAATTCTCCCAGACTAGGCTGTTCTCCAATTCTGATGAACATTAGATACCACCACTTCTTAACACTGAAGTAGGTAGGCTCCAATAGATCTTTCTTGATATTTTTAACATCTTAATTTTTCCTGTGACTGCTCAACAATCAGTTTTTGGGGGTAGGGAGATTAGACTCATTTATTGAGGAGGGTAAGAAATAGAACAGACTCTTGCTAGAGAAAAAAAAATGTTCATTTTGTTTAATCCTGACACTCTAGCATTATCTTCCATGCTGTCGCAGCAGGTTCTTACACACTGGTAATAAAAAAGTGATCTCCCTTCCTGTGGCAAAAGAACCTAAACAAGAATAAGGTTGTTGTAACTCCCCCCACCTCAATGTCTATGGAAAATATGTCAGTGTTCTCAAACAAAGAGGAGGATGAAAACTTAACTAATCATCTTTAGCCAGAATACAACCAAAAGGGAATTATGTGCCCCTCTGAAATTAATTTTATTCCGGTAACTGGATAGAAATACAGTTCTTTTTTTTAATTCTATAACTGAAAGCAAGCATTACATCAATCACCACTTAGATCAACATACTCATCATCTCTCCTGGCCAAATCTTCTTCACCTTCCAAATCTTTCCAAATGCTGGTAGGCAAAACTGGTTTAAGAGAATGTCTCTGAAGCAAGGCAAATGGAAATAAGGATGACAAACGAGCAGGATTTCTCATGAAGGGAGAAGCTTCTGTATCATCGTCAGAGTTGGCCTGATGATGTCTTTCATCCATTTTCTTCTGCAAACCCTGTACATCTTCCATTACATCTAAGATTTTTGTTGCAGTGGCAACTGCACCTCCACCAGGGAGTTGAGCTTCAGGAATCCATCGTAAATACCTCTGTGCCCACACTTTGATTTCTGGTCCTTCTAAACATGGCAGGAGGAGTCCATGAAGGTCAACAGGTTTACTATGCCAACTGTCATAGAATTCTCTGGAGTTATTCTGAAGTTCATCAGAAGAAGTTATCAACCTGCTGATTCTTTTGCCCAGGAGGTTTTTAATTAATTGGTCTGTTTCTTCCTTAAAAAAGCCCCTTTTTGGAGGAGGTTTTGCTTGTGTCAGGGGCAAAGAGAGTTGCCGCTGATGCTTTAAAAGAAAAGAAATTTAGAAGACAAAATTAAAACTGTCTGAACTCAGTTCTAGCTTAGTTTCTGGGCAAAGTGGACAACTATAGTCAGTCTGAGCTATGATGATATCCCAAGTTAAAACAAAATGCATAGAAGTTCCAATTGCTATTCATCTTATTTCTTGCAAGGGGACCTCATGAAGATTTTTTTTAATATACTCAAAATTTGGTTATAACAGATAACTTATTCCAAGAATTTCCATCAGAGGATCAAATTGCATTAGAATTGAGAAAAATTAACACCTGATGATTACAGCCATAGCTAAAAAATGCAATTTTTTTGCGACTGCCATACGAGAAACTAAGTATCAGTTGAGCAATTTTTAGCATTTCCTTTGGTCATATTCTTCAAGGTTAAATAATTTTTGCACATGCGTTTAAATCTCAGGGTATGATTTATATACAACGTTAATCCGAGAGACGAGAAAAGGATATTATCTAACTGAAGACAAATGTTAATACTATTCTATTTTGCTATGAGTTAACTCTATAAAGCAGGGGTGGGGAGCGTTGCTGAGGCCTGGGAAGAAATGTTTGCCCAAACCTTACTGCAGAGAGGCACAGACTATGTAAACTGGGGGACGATTCTGAGGTGTGTGATTTTAATGGGAGAGCTCTGGCAAAGGATGTAGGAGGAACTTGTCCTGATCATATGACTTCCTGCACGGTGTTCAGAAAGTCCATCTGACTGGAATGTGTTTTCACTTATGATGTAAAGTCAGGAAACAAGCAAGAACGTTATAGGAAATAGGAATGATGTTAAATCAATAATGCCTAATTTGGGCCAAATTGCAGACATATTTTTTGGGTGTCCTTCCAAAAATATTGGCACTTTTAATGCCTCCTTTTGATCTTGGCAGTTGCATCAATTATAGTTATTTTAATTCACATGTTCCAACCTAACTGAACAGTGGTTAACATATTAAATTAGCAGCCCAATCTCTATTACTCCTCCAGTGTTTACAGTGCAAATATTCAAATATCTTACCTTGAATCGTGAAGCTTTCTTCTGACTTTTGTCTAGTTTTGGCTTTTCTGCATAAAGAGGGTTGTTAAGCAAAGCCTGAGCCTCGTGTTCAAACTGCACAGACCAATCCCAAACTGAAAGAAAACTAAGTTTTCTGCCTTCTGTAGCAAGACTTCCTCCATACTATTAAAAAAAAAAAAAAAAAATCTGGAATTAATTTAGAAATGCATTTTCTCCAATATGCAGTGCTTCAATGTGATTTTTAATAGAATGGAATCCATTATCCATTATTTTTCTACAAGTAGTCCTCAAGTTACAATAGCAGTTGGGACCAGGACTGTTGTTGTTAAGTGGTGAGGTTGTAAAGCGCAACCTCACGACTGCATTGCTTAGCAACAGCAATCTAACCAGTCCGGTCGTTAGTGGGAGGCAGCTAGAATCCAGGTAGGGAATGCGGGGGTGCCATGGGGGCGTGGGGGGGGGGCCTGGGAGGCGCAGCACAAACTGTGAGTTGCAGGAGGGGGGTGCTGCAGTGCAAGTACAGGGAGGTCTGGGAAAGAGGGCGCTGGTGGGTGCTTGTTCAGTACAATAGCAGCATTCTTCCAATTCCACAAATGCAGTCCTCACATACGTTTAAGCAAACTGCACAGCTACTCCATAAATCATACCATATTTTTTAACATTTCTCCAGTTAAATCATTTACATTTGCAGCATTACTATTTTTTAAAACATTCTTACAATATTTATGACTTTTCATGTATTTTTTCTTGGACACTAATAGTTATAGAATTTACTATTATATTGGGCACAATTGTGCTCTTGTTCAAACTTTGGGCCCTATGAGAAAGTACTAAACACTGTTTAAAGGAAGCTCTTCTTGAACCCTAGATGTGGCCCTGTAGTTAGAGGCTAGGCTCCCCAGAATTGAGGCTCAAGCTTGTTAGTAGAGCTATGTATAGCTCAGGGTGGATGTGTCCTATTAAGAGTTCTTTGAGCTAGGTTTCTGCATTGTCAACATTTCATTACCATATTAGGTAACATCACTAGTGCAGGAAATGGGAGAAGTGAGGGTAAAGGATGGTTGTTAAATTGCATGTAAATGAATGAAGTCTTTGTGAAGGCTAGAGCTTGGTAAACAATAATATCCACTTGGCTAAGGCTCAATTTAGCCACTTTTGGGCTGCTACCATTATCTTGAAGGGCCAATTATACACCACAGGGTTAATCTAGGGTTAGACAAGATTAAGAATGCCATCAGACAACAGCCAGAGGATAATGAGTTTCAGAATTAGTTGAGCCAAAACGTAAGAATTCATCGCCTCAAGATACAGAGGCCCTCTTTTGCAAAATATTCTTTTGCACATAGTTAAAATGTGGGTGGGCATTTTCCAAAGCCCATTATAATGCCTTATCAAAAATTTTAGAGAACAGATTTAATAAAACCACAAAGCTTTAATAATGAAGCTTTGAAGCTTATGTCCAGGTAGGACAAGTGAAATTGAATCTATTGAGCTTATCTTTTAATTGTGAATTTTACTCTGATTCAATACAAATGCTGCTTCTGCTTTTATTTAAGAACTTCCCTGGGCATTCAGATAATAATTTATTAAACTGTATGCTACCCGACTCTCAACGACTCTGGGCAGCTCACAACAATCAAAGGAAGAAATTAAAATAAATACTAAAAACAAAGAAAAAAAGATGGCAAGTGTGATGATGTGAGGTCTCACTCTTCCTCACCAAAGGCCTGAGTGAAGAACCAGGTCTTCATGGCTGTTCTAAACAACATCAGAGTGGGGGCCATCCAGATCTTGGGGAGAATCTCATTCCAGAGGCAGGTACTGCTACAAAGAAGGGGCGCTTCTGGGGTCCTGAGAGGTGACGTTGTTTAATCAAAGAAACCCAGAGCACACCAACCCTACAGGATCAAATCAGCTGGGCAAGTGTTATAAGAGACAGGCAGTCCCTCGAATAACCAGGCCCTATGCCAGATGGCTTTAAGCAGATAGAAGCTCTAAAGTCACTCACCTGGTGGCAAAATTTGGGGCAGTATTTATAAGAGCGTCCCTGGTAAGATCACCACTGAGAGATATTGCTAATTAATTTTGATATACACAGATTATATTGTAAGGATGTTTATCATTGCATATAATGGTTATTTTATTTAATTCTGGTCTAAGCCCATAATAAACTTTGTTATAATGTTTACTCAATTACACTTGTTAATGTGTCATATCATCCCCATACAAATCTTGGACATACTCCTTCTAGCATTCTTTAATTTCAGTTTCATCCCAAATCATTGAATCACTTTTATTTTAATTCCATTCATTCTACTAGGGACTCCTCACTTAGCACTTTTTACCCACTTCCAAAATAATTTATTTCCATGAAAATACTGTCTCTGTCTATTGGATAATCAAGATTAAATCAAATCAAATCAAAGTTTATTGCAGTCTTGGACCAGTACAAGGATGATGCTCTGTGAAAATATACACAGTCTATCTTAAAATAATAGCAACCTAGAATAAAATAAAATTAAAAGTTAAAATTAAATTAAAATATATTTATAAAACTAACTAAACTCTGTGGGTGCAATCTAAGGTGCAGCCTATACTAGGTGAAAATATAGTCACTGAGATTATGTTAAATATAAAATGTAAAATGTAAGTATCTAAAATTACCATATAGTTTATAGAAATCTAAATGAATTACTATTACATAAAATACATTACATAAATTAGCCCATCTGGGGTCTGGCAAATCTTCATTGCTGCAGCACAAAACCTGGCTACCTGTGCTGTGACAATAGGCTTTTCATCTATGAGGATTATTTATTTATTTATTTATTTATTTAAATAGACTTGTCCCCGCCCATCTCCCCACAATGGGGGACTCTGGGTGGCTTATATAGTCTGCATCTGGGCGACCAGGATATTTACCAGTCAGAAGTGAGATGAGTTTGGTTCAGAGATCTCTGTAGAAATCACAGCGGAGGAGGACATGGTCTGTGGTTTCCACCTTTCCAGAGTCACAAGAACAAAGCCTTATGGCCAACGGTATTTTTTAATATTTGCCCTCCAGTACCGCAGAGGTGAGAGCATGGCATCAAGTTAAAGAAAAGGCTTTCCAATGGCTTGGGTGTTTCGAGCTGTGTAAGATAACTGGCAGTAGTGATGATATATTTATTGTATGCTGGAGACATACAGTATCTAGGACCTTCCCTAGAATCTGCTCACCGTTCTATATCCTTTATCCTTTGTTTCAGCTCTTGTTTGGCCTGGTTGTATTCCATCTTGAGAACTGAGGATGGGGAATAGCCTAGCTTTAAAAGATTAGTGTTGATGGCCTTAATCCATGTGGGTTGAAAGTTATCCTGAAGAATGAGAGGTGCTAGGCCTTTGGGGTAAAAGTTGAGCTTTAGCCAAAGGTTTAGAGAGGCTAGGCACACTCTTGACTCATCTTTTATCATATTGGCCAACTAGAGTCCCATAGAGCGGCTGAGCTAACAACTTGGCTTGAAAGAGTTTGAGTGCAGCTGGAATGTAAGATCCTCCCTTACAATGAAAAAATTTTAAGATGGCGTTGGCAGATCTTTGTCCAGAGGCTGTAGCATGTTCACAGTGAGCTTTCCTCGAGCCAGAGGCATGGATGACTACACCTAAATACTTAAAACTGGTCACTTGCTCTATTCTATGATCATGAATACTCCATGAACTGAGTTTTGGCCTATTGGCAAAAGCCATTATCTTAGTTTTCTGGTAGTTTATTTCCAGTTTATTGTTATCACAGTGCTGGGCCAGAGTTTTCAGAGCTCGTTTGAGGCCTATGGGTGTTCTAGAAAGAACTACAGCATCATCTGCATAAAGTTAACAGGGCAATGCTACGGTCCCCTAGTTTAGGGGGATGGAGATCTAGATTGTTTACACAATTCACCATTTTGGTGATATAAAAGTTGAAAAGTAGGGGGGCCAGAATACAACCATTTCACCCCCTTTTGAACTTTAATCGGCTTCGAGACCCTTGCATATTACACCTGATCTTAAGGGTCGTATTAGTGTGTAGGGCACGGATTAAATGGAGAAGCCTGCAGTCAACTGATGTATCTTCCACCTTCTCCCATAGTCTGGGCCTAGATATGGAGTCAAAACCTGCCTTAAGATCTATAAAGGCAGCATACAATGTAGTTGTTTTATTGGTTGAATATTTTTCCATCAAATGCTGTAGGACTAAACATTGATCAATAGTGCCTCTGCCTTCTCTGAAACCAGCCTGCTCTTCTGCTATCAGGTTTCCAGCCAATCCTTAAGTTTTTCACGGAGATGTTTAGCATAAAGTTAGCTAATTATGTTTAACAGACTGATTGGCCTATAATTTGAAGGATTATCTCTCTTACCCTTCTTGAAGATTGGGACTATAATTGCCAAGCCCCAGTCCTCAGGGACACACCCAGTAGTGTCAATATAGGTGAAGAGCGATGCCAAGATTGGAGTCCACCACTCTATGTTAATTCTGGAGGAATAAAGTCAGCCCCCGGGGCCTTCCCCTTTCTGAGTTGGCCAATGAGAGACTTAATTTCAGAGGCTGATACAGGGGACCACTCAGGTAGAACTTCCTTCTTTGGCATTGCTGTCTTGTTGGAGGGCTCTTCATACATCCTCTGGAAGTATAATTCCCAGGCTTCAGGTGGTTTGAGTCTAGTGAAGTAGAAGTTCTAGACACCTGGTGGGATATTAAATGGCAGAAAAGAGAGTTCTTTATCTTTGCTCCTCAATGAGTTGTTTCCAGGTAGTTTTTATGTCTTTTTTCTTCTTATCAGCCACTAGATGCTTATACTGTTTTTTAAGGATGAGGTGTTCAAGGGTCTTAGTGTTTGTGTTGTTGTCCCCTGTCTTGGAGTTATATAGATGGCAGGCTGTGGTGAGAGCTTTCTTAGCTTCTGCGCAGTCTTTATCAAACCATGGCTTTGATAAGGTTGAGGATCTCTTAATCGAGAAGTCGGGGTCATAAGCCAGTAGAGGTTGTAGTTTTTGTACTAAAGTTTGTACAGGATCAGAGGATCCTGAGTGAAAGTCATTTGACATTTCTGCAGATTGTCCTCTACCGGTGCCTTCTTCATCTTCCGGTCAAGCTGAAGGGTCCATTTGACACGGCATCTTGCTTGTCCTGCTGGGGAAGTTGCAGGAGTAAAATAAGCCTCAAGGTCCCTTGACCAAGTAGGGGTCTTCAAGTATAAACAAAATGGGAAATGATCTAAATGGGGTAGTACCTTGAAATTCTCTACAGAGTGTAGTAGGTTCATGGTAATTAGCATGTAAACGATGATACTTGTTCTGAGCTCTGCCATGAATGTAAATTTGCCTGGGTAATCTCCTACACTGGAACCATTTAGTATGAGGAGGTTGAACTTATTTGCCAATTTTGCAAGACAAAGCCCAGCAGAGTTAAATCTACTGTCTCTGGACAGATGCGGGAGGGGGGTGCAAACTGAGTTACAGTCCTGAGCTGGTGGGTACTGATGAAATTTGGTCTATAATGTATAGTCATCAGAGCCCATCCTGGCATTAAAGTCATCCCCAAGAAGTACCATAGCTTTGGGATATTCCAGAAGAAGGTTGCTGATATATTGATCTAACTCTGCCCATGTTGCATTGATTTCAGCTCTTCTTTGCAGTGGAGGGAGGTAAACATTGATTAGCAAAAAAGCAATACCCAAGCCAAGAAGTAGGGCCAAAGCCATTTGTCTTAATGAGGGAATAGATATAAGTATTACTCTTAGAGAGGTAGGGATAAGGATGCCCAAGCCACCTTTCAGCCACCCTGGTCCTCTGCCTGGAATTGCTTCAATTTTATCTGGATGGTATCCATTAAGCAGAAGGTTGTCATCTGTCCAAGTTTCCTGCAACAGCATTACGTCCTTACTGTGCAAGGGGTCGAAATGATTAAGGCCTCTATTGTGATACCAGCCAGCTATGTTCCATGTTAGGATTTTTAGGGCATTTGCCTTAAACTGGTCTGCATGGTGTCATACCTTCTGTGTTATAGGCTCTGGTCTGACAGTGCCCTCTTTATGGTTCTGCTGGATGCCACCAATACACTTATCTTCTGGAGATTTGGGCTTGAGATTTTCAAGGGGCTGCTCATCAACCTGCGCCACTACAAGAATTTTTGGTTTGGGGGCTTCTAGTGGTTTCAGAGGACTATTGGGACATGAGATAAGAACTGAGCAGCCCTCCATATCAGGTGCTACCTTAGAATTTTGTAGATCTTGATTTGTCGTGGCAGCTATGAGAGTGCAGGTAGGTTGCACTTTTTCAGGAGCACACTCACACTGTTGCTCAAAATGGGGATTATCATCCTGGGTATTTCATAAGGCAAAATGTATTAATGGCTTGGCTGTTTCACAAGTTGTCATTAAAGATTCTCTTAGATCATCTAGTCTCTTAAGTATATCAGCCTGTCTTGTATCTGGCAAGGCACTGAAGAAGTTAATCAAACTTTCTTCTAGTGAATCATTAGGCAGCTGTGTTGTTATAGGTTTAACAAATTGTTTGCTTAGATTTTTCCCTAGCAGAGGCTCTGTTGATAAAAAGTCCTTGAAATTATCTGAGGGAGTTTTGCTGTTGTGTATCAAAGTGCCAGTACTCTCTTGGTTGTGCTGAGTTATAAGCGAGCTAACTTCCTCAGAGTGAAAAACACGAATTGGAAAGATTGAAAAAGTGCTCAAAAAAGGTTTCATTTTAAAGAGCATGCTAGGTACCGCAGACTGTCCGAATGTCAACAAGACTCAACCATAACTGCCTCTGGGTGGGAGCCATTCTGCTTTTTTTAAGTCCAAAAATTGATTCTCATAGCGTAATAGCTGGCTTAAGGACTGATGATGGTTTTTTTAGATCCCCATCTGCCTCTGTTTATTCTGTTATTTAAAATTTGTAGTGTTATCTTATTAGTTTGTAGGAGACATTTGCGTATTAAAAGCTTTTCATCCTTCGCTCCTTTCTCTGCAAAACTGCTTATCTTTTTCTTTTCTTCTCTGACACTTCCTGTTAAAGGTTTAAGTTTAGAAGTGAGATCTCCCTTTCCTCTGCTGGCTGTTTGTAAGGCACACTTTAGGTACAACTCATTTAATTTGGCAGAGTGAGCAGTATGATTTAACTGGCTCTCAATGAATTTTATAAAAGATTCTTTTAGGGAGTCAACTTTATTTTTAATTGTGGTCAGCAGGTCAAAAATTGAAAGGACAGCTTGTGCAGTCAATAGGCTAAGCCTAGTTGTAAAATCTAGTGCATTTTGTTCTTTCAGGGATTTGAAATTAGAATCCATGTCTCCCTCCTGTACAAGTTGTTCAGTGGCTGAGCTGGCAGCAACTGCCTGCAGGGAGGAGGCATTCTCTATCAGAGATGAGGAAAGCTCTAAAAGTTGCTGGCTTTCAATCTCAGTCTGTAAATCCTATTTTAGAGGGTCATGTCTATCCGATAGATGAAGCAGAGGAGATTACTTACAGGGGAGCCTTGCTTACTTGTGACAAATCTGTCAACCTTCTGCTGTTTCAGCAGCTTGGATGATGGTTGTGTTGCAGAAGATGTCCTTTGTCGCTTCTTTCTCTCCCCCATGTCCAACAGATGCAAGGGCTTTATGATGTTTTAGGGACTTGGCATTCAGATTTAAAATATCTCTTGCAGAGAATGTGTTTATTAAATAAAACTAGATAAAAATTAAGATGTATAGCTAGGCTACTTACAAAAATGGATAAAACAAAATATCATAAGGAGCTCAGCAAGGAAGCTGCTGCTCCGTTGCCATCTTAGCTCTGTATAATTAAGATTATTTCCCTCTTAACTGTCTTACCGTAGTGGTGTCTCTCTGATATTGAGAATTGAAGAAGAAGGTGCTAAATATGGGGATGTAAAGGCTGTCAGACAGAACAGTAAGATATGTTTCTGTAAATTCAAACGCTGGTTGATATTGCTGAACCAGTTGCCAAACACAGTCCAAGAAGAACAAGAAAACTGGAGCCTAGAAAAATAAGGAAACTAGAATAGTATGAGATACATTAAACTGAGTAGTTGATGTGCTGCATTCAACAAGACTTGACTTAATAAGGCTTCTATCATGTCAGTGTCTATCCCTGCCTGATTTTTTTAAAGAAGAAACCACTATCATCATTACTAAGAAATTTAAAAAAAAAATCTCTTTCCACCAAATGAATTTCACCTTTCCCCCTTTCTTTTCACACTGGCCCTTAAAACATTTTAAAATATGTTTTAGTCACATGCCAAGATATGGTAGTACTGATCATAAATCTGACATTTAGATATTTTCCTTTTATGCTACGTCAAGCATTGTCACAAATAAAAATGCTCATAAAAGTTATACTTGCTCAACTGTTGCATTTACTAAGTTTTAGTAAGTTGCATTTACTACATTGTATTTATATGAAGGCAAGTTGCACAGCTATTCTTATTTTTCTATTATCGCTTGCCACTGAAGTCATTAAGATGCCCCAGTTCTAGCCAGAGCTATAAGTTAGGGGAAGGGTTTTAATGTTTTAGGGCCTGTAAGGCATATCTGGAATCCTAGAATGAAAACGTCAGAAACAGCCAAATTAGGCCATCAAATCCAATCCAATCCCTTGGTCATTGTAGGAATGCAAATTAAAGATCTCCAACACCTCCTCCCTGGATAACTGGTTCTACTGTGGAAGGGTTTTGTTAAAAAAATTACCCTAACATTTAATAAGAATCTTCCTTTCTGTAATTTACATTCATTATTCCTTTTATGCAACAGTTTCAGGTATCTGAAAAACACTATCATGTTCCTCATCACCCACCCACCCAGTTATCCTTTTAGAAGACTAAAGCATTCAGAACTTCTTTACTCTCATCAGTCCTACTTTCCTGATCATCATCCTCACTGCCCTTCCAAACCTGTTCAGTTAGTTTGCATCCTTTAAGCATGGTACCCCAAACCAGACACATTAGTCAAGGTGGGGTCTGATCAGTGACAAATAAAGTACAGCAATTATTCTCCATTATTTGGAAACTATATTTCCAATGTAGCATAAAACCACATTTTGCTTTTTTGCACCACACTTATCATATTCCATTTTCAATCAAGAGCTATTCCAATATTTCTTTTCCCAAAGACTATTACCAAGGTACCTAATTCTTTACTGTACATCTGATTTCTGTTTCCTAAGTGAAGAACTCTGTATTTATCACTGTTAAATTTAATTGTTTTTTCTCAACACATTTTTCTAAACCATTCATTTTAAATTGTATTTCTATCTTTTAGGATATTAGCTGTCCCATCCAATTCTAAATCATTTGCCAATCTGATGAGATTTTCTTAGCTCTTCATTCAAATCATAATAAAAGCATTTCAGAGTATAAAGCCCTAGATGGAATCTTGTGGCATCCCACTCAATACCTCTGATGAGAAACTACAGATGAGCACCTTTGGGTATGACTTAACTGTCATGCCATTCGGTCTACACTTAACTAGCTTGTCAATCAAAATGTCGTGGGTATTTTGCTGAAATCAAGATATATTTCATCCACAGCAAACCCATGCTCTGATAAAGAAATTCCTGAATCAAAACTGACAAAAGGCAGTCTAGCAAAACTTGTTCTTGATAAATTCAAGCTGATTTCTGATAATTAATTCTGGAAGGAGATAGCAGTGAGCCATTTCAGGGAAAGACAGGTTGGAAATCTGGTGCCAGTCCCTACTTCAGAACCCCTCTCAGCTCATGAGCCAGGCATCTGAATTTGTCCAGCCAGATTTTGTGTACTGTATCAGTCTCAACCACAGGAAAACCATGGGCTTGTCCCAAGTCATCTCTGGCCCCACCCCTGCAGCTGGCCACACATTTGATCTGGCCTTTATCTCACAACCGATGAGACATGATCTGATTCTGGGGGCCTTTTCCACCAGTGTTTTGTTACTGATGGATCACTCCCTTGTGACAACAGGGTTGACTGGAGCTACCAGCCTCCACAGGGAGGAAAGGTCAATTAGATGGTCTGCCTAAGAACCTGATAGATACAAAGGGTGTCCAGATGCACTTGGAGATTTTCCCAGAGATCTAAAGGCCAGTTCTACTGGGTACCCTGTTAGCTTCTGGAATATGGAGGCAGCCAGGGCACCCAGGAGCATTGGTCCTGAGCGGCTGCTCCCTGCCTATTAATCTTGGGTGGCTCCTTAGTTTTATGAGTTGCTCTAGGAAATGGAGTGAAGAGATGCCTGAGGCAACACTAGCAGAGAATGAGAAGTGGGTGTGATCACACATGGGTACGAGCTCAAATTTGAAACTATGGCAATAATTATGATAGAGTGGAATTATTTAACCCTTACTGGATCCGCAGAATGTCATTTGGCTATACTATTTAGATATCCTAGATAGGATATCTTTTTGGGAAGAAGGAGCAAGAAGAACCAGTCAGAGTACATAGTGATTGCCTGGTCAAACATTCTACAGATACATCACTCACATTCTCTAAACTTGAAGATGGATGGATGAAATCTGATGTGGTGACAGAGGTGATGTATTGTGATGTCACCTGGGGGGGTTTCTGAGCCTCTGGTTCTTGAGGAAGCGGACAGAGTTCTCTGTGATCTAGCTCTGGCACTTATGGACTAGGACCCTGCTGCATCTGGCTGGTTAAAGCAACCAGAGAAAGAAATGGGAGTTGGAGTCATAGAATAGTTAATACTTCTTTGAGAGAAAGGGAGATTCCAGGAATTCAGAAAGAGGCACCAGTCTGTCCACCTCTCACAAAGCCAGCCTTGAATCCAATGGTACTGGATAACTATCTCTATGTATCTTGTATAACTAACTATGTATCTTGTATATGATACAAACAACTCAACAAAGTAGTGTATGACATTTAATTTCATACTTCTTATTCTATCTAAAGCCAAGACTGTTGGTCTACTGAGTTTCTGAAGTTTTTTTATTTGTAACACATTATAGAGCGAGGTAGGAATAGATCAATTTATATCAATTGCATGTAGGGTTTGCCTACCATACATGAACTCCTTGTGCTATATATCACTTGGACTCTGAAGGTCAAAGGCCTAGTGTGATCAAGGCTGACAAAGCCTTGCCTGACTTTCTTGTTCCCTCAACTAAAATATTTTTGCTTCTGAAAGAGCGCTCACTTGAGCCCATGACATATTGAGGCAAGCTATCTACTGAGGCAAAGGCTCTACCATTTCCAGTTTCATGATTCTCAGTTTCCTTCCCTAGACATATTTTTGCTCAGAACATCTTTGTAGAACTTTGGCCCCATCCTAGTTATACCTCTTCTTTATCACTTTGCCGCAGTTGGTTACACCGATCCAAGAAAGCATGTCCTCCCATGATCCATTCTTTCTGAATAAGGCTCTGAAATCCCAGCTTGGTTCTACAGTATGAATCCATCATAACTTGAACCAGACAGGCAATCACACAACAGAGGTCAGAAGCATTCTCCTCTGAAAATAAAGAGACAAATAGAACTATTTAAGATATAACAAAAGTGTTTGTGGGCACTTCAAATAAAGGATATGTTTATGTTTTTACAGTCTCTTTCAGGGAAACATTGATGTTTATGAATGATGTTAGCATTCTTAATGTGTTTACTGAACATCCTGGCTCTGTTCAATTCTATTAAAATCAAATAAAGATCAAAATTAGTACAGAGCAGTAACTGACTAAGATAATATAGTATTACTTTACAGTATTTATCAAGTTACCTAATATGGTATTCAACATTTCTCTATCATTATGGTCATATAGATCAAAGGAATATATTCCAAAAGCAGCATGCGTTGAAGCAATATTTCACAGTGGTCAAAGCAAGGAAGATTACTGGGCATTATATCAGCATGAGACAGCATGAACACAAAGTGGAAGAATCTATACAACAGTTTAGTTAAGCATGTGGTAGAAAATATAATACAGAACCAGTTTCAGGACTCTAGAAAGAGCAAGATAATATAATGTCCAAAAGCAAGCCTTTATAAGCATCAAAGCCAATAACAGGGCTCACACATCACACTAAACATGGTTTATTTTAATGACCTACACAGAAGCCAAACCAACTGAGTTCACAGAGTAATACTAAGCCAAAATTAAATGAATCACATTTTATGACTTAGTGTTATGAATGACTTAGCAAGTTTGTTGTATTGGTTCTGATCCTGCTAAGTAACAAGACTGGAGGGTAACAGACATGCTAAACACCACCCCATCTAAACTACCCATCTGCAAGCTAGCCAACAGTACTACTCACAGGTGGAGAAAAATGGGACAGCAGAAGACAGGGTCTTCACTGAAAGGAAAACAAGGAGATAAGACAGAGGACAGGTGCAGGTGTTAAACCAGAATCCAAGAAACATGCTAGAAGGGCCGTGTTTTAAAATATAAGACAGCTCCTTGGTATATCTTAGTCAGGAATTTATAGCCATGTACAAGTCTTACAAATGTATACAGACCTGAACACAAGAGTAACTAAGCCCATTTCTTTTTCAACTACAGTGGAACCTCGGGTTACGAACGCCTCTGTTAACGAACTTTTCGGGTTACGACCAGCTCTGGCCGCAAAAATTTACCTCGATTTGCGAACTCCGCCTCAGGGTATGAGCAGGATACATGGCCATTTTCCCTCCCGTGACACAGTCCGCGGCCATTTTTCCGCCCCTGACACGTGGTCCGTGGCCATTTTCCGCCCCTGACACGTGGTCCGTGGCCATTTTCCGCCCCTGACACGTGGTCCGTGGCCATTTTCCGCCCCTGACACGTGGTCCGTGGCCATTTTCCGCCCCTGACACGTGGTCCGTGGCCATTTTCCGCCCCTGACACGTGGTCTGCGGCCGTTTTTCCGCCCAACACGTGGTCCGCGGCCATTTTCCGCCTGACACGTGGTCGTAGGGAGGGGGACTCTCCCTCCAAGCAATAGCCGCCTCCCTGTCCTCCACGCCCGAACCGAATAACGGTAATTACATTGAACCTTATGGGGAAATTTCCTGCGGGTTGCGACCAATTCGGGTTGCGGCCAGAGTCACGGAACGAATTAAGTTCGTAAACCGAGGTTCCACTGTATTACATTTGGGAAAAAAAGATAAATGGAACAAATGGGCTCAG